CCAGCTCCTTGAGAAGACCCATGATTCACCCCTTGCTGGCCATCCTGGCCGAGTCAAGACTCTTCAGCTCCTGTCCTTGAACTACTACTGGCCTGCTATGCGTTCAGATGTTGAACGTTACGTCAAGCAATGCCCCACCTGCCAAAGAACCAAGGTCCCTCGTCAGAAACCCTCTGGACTACTCCAGCCCCTGCCTGTCCCTGCCCGTCCGTGGTCATCAATCTCGATGGATCACATCACCCAGCTCCCTGCTTCTTGTGGCCACGATGCCATCCTTGTCATCATTGACCGGTTCAGCAAAATGGCTCATTTCATTCCAGCCAAGACCACAGACGCTGCCCCAGACCTTGCACGTCAGTTCCTTGACAACATTGTCAGACTCCACGGTTTCCCAGATGAGCTGCTCTCTGACCGTGGAACTACCTTCACGTCACGCTTCTGGAAAGAGCTACTTGCCCAAGCCAATGTCAAGCCCCTGTACTCCACGGCCTTCCATCCTCAGACCAATGGCCAGACTGAAAGAGTCAATCAGACCCTTGAGCAATACCTTCGTTGCTTCACCTCCTTCCAGCAGGACGACTGGGTTCGTCACCTTGCCCTGGCCGAGTTTGCCTACAACAACTCTCCTCACTCGAGCACCTCTGAGTCTCCCTTCTATGCCTGTTATGGTTACCATCCTCGTTCAGATCTGACACCAAGAGGTACTACTGTGCCAGCCGTGCAAGACATGGTTTCTGACCTGACTGCAGTTCAAGATCGTATCAAGAACAGTCTCAAGCAAGCCCAAGAAGAGGCCTCCAAGTACTACGACCGTCATCACAAGGAAGGCCCTCAGTTCAAGCCTGGTGATCTAGTCCGTCTGTCTCGACGCAATCTGCCTGCCCGAAGACCATCCAACAAGTTGGACGACAAGTTCTCTGGTCCCTTTGAAGTTCTGGAACGTCTTGGCCCAGTCAATTACAAGCTCAAGCTTCCTCCTGCCATGCGTATTCACGATGTCTTCCACATCTCCCTCCTTGAGCCCTGGCATCAGTCCACGTTCCCCAGCAAGGCCCCTGCTCCTCCTCCTCCCCCAGAGATCATCAATGGAGTTGAGCAGTATGAGGTTGCCAAGATCCTAGACTCAAGAATCTACCGCCGTGCTCTGCAATACTTTGTCAATTGGGTTGGCTATGACAAGTCCGAGGACTCCTGGGTTACTGCTTCAGATCTGGCTCATGACGATGCACTGGTCATCGAGTTCCACACCAAGTATCCTGACAAGCCCTGCACACCTGCACGCCTCAAGGCCATCAAGTCCTTTGTCCAGTCTGTTCAAGCTAGTCCTAGATCGCCCGGAGTCGATCTCAAGAGAGAGGGCTCTGTCACGGCACGCCATCAAGTTATACCCCCAACCTCACGCGCCCAAGTTATACCCCCAACCTTATACCCCCAACCTCGTACCCCCAACCCTGTACCCCCAACCTCAAGCCCCCAGCCCAGCAAGCATACCATCAAGCCTCCACGACCCAGCTCACAGCCACTGACCACCAGTCATGCCTCTGCCCCCTCAGCCCCCTCAGCACGTCCCCTCTCCTATGCCCAGGCTTGTACCCCCAACCTTATACCCCCAACCTCGTACCCCCAACCTGGTTTCAAACTCCGCTCCACACGCGCATGAGGCACTACACCAGTGTCCTTTATACCCCCAACCTCAGCCTGCCCGTGCCAGCCCCTGTCTCTGCCATCACAAGTCTTGCTCGACGACTCCCTTGAGTCTTCCTTTCCTTTCCCCATCTGTTGTCTTGTCCATCCCCTTAGTGTCAGCTTGCCTGTCAATACCAATCCCCTTTACCGTGCTCAGAGTCTGCCTCAGGTCTGACCCTCGACCACTGGCCTCCCCCCTCCGTGCCCGACCGCCGTAACATACTGTTCTTGCCACACGACTCCAGCCAGCTGCAGCAGAATCTAGCCCTTCCCGTTTTTGATTACAACGGAGTTGTTGTGACGCTGTGATACTGTACATTTGGGTGACGCAAGGGCATGTGCGACAGGCATATCACCGTACAGTAATGTAGTGCAGGTGCACAAGCGCTACTTCAGTTGTTACGGCAGCGCATCACGTAAATCTGATGAGACCAGTGTGCTTGTCGTCTCACTGTACCAAGGAAGAGGAATTGCTGTACGATAGCTTCTTCTTCGCTCCTGCTGTCACGCAGTCTATCCAGCTGCAGCAGATCTGTATTGTATCGATCATACTCAGAAGACAGTATTTATACTATATTGAATCCTCTTTCGGAGCTCGTTCTTGTATTCCGACATTGCTGGAGCAAGACTTGCTGTCTAGTTCGGTCTGCAAAGTGCAAGCCAAGCGCAGAAGTGGTGCTTACGCTGCCGAAATCTAACACAAACTGACCAGATCCGGACGACAAGTAGAGTAGAATGTAGCTGCATCTGCAGTCGATCCAGAGCCTGGGAAACTCGCTCTACAGCTACAGTGAAACACTTGCATCTTTGTGTCTACTGTATTTCAGAAGGCAGCAAAAGAAAGCAAATGTATCACAGGCCTGCATTGCGCATTGCTCTGTCGCTCTGCCGCTCTTCAGCTTTTGTGGTATTGTCTGCTTAGGATTGGGAAAGGCATAGCAGTCATAGTGGAGACGTAGAGTAAGAGTTGAGTATAGACAACATATACAGTATGACGTGCGCAAATGCGAGCTTGTTATAGCTACCCTCTGACCGCACCCATCTGTACCTATTTCTGGCGCATTTTGTACTAGGCCAATGTGCAAGAGCAAGGTGACTCAAAAGGCAGCAAATGAACTGAGACAAAATCCTGTTCGACCTTAGTACAGTGATAATCAGACTCAGTATCACCCTCACGTTCTGTTTGAGTCTCTTCTTCAGCTTTCAAGCCAGGTTGGCTGCGTGCGCCGGTTGACAAGGTACTGTATCTTGTTGTACTTTTCTTCTGGCTAGCTTGAGAGAAAAAACACGAGGTGCATGGCTGCAGTACAGTACGCTCACACCAACGAAGATCAAGAATAAAGAGAAATCCGGTGTTACGGCGGTGGGGCACGGAGGGGGGAGGCCAGTGGTCGAGGGTCAGACCTGAGGCAGACTCTGAGCACGGTAAAGGGGATTGGTATTGACAGGCAAGCTGACACGAAGGGGATGGACAAGACAACAGATGGGGAAAGGAAAGGAGGACATGACTGGCTCGACAAGCAAGACTTGAGACCAAGGCTGGCTACGAGGACAGGGGCAGGCTGAGGTTGGGGGTTCAACTGACACTGGTCCAGTGCCTGTTGGGGGTTCAACTTGACACTGGCCCAGTGCCATATGCGCGTGGCTGAGCGGAGTTTGAATACCTGCAGGCAGACGTTGGGGGTTCAACGTTGGGGGTACAAACCTGGGCATACGTGAGCAGACGTGGTGGGCAAGCCTGACGGGTAGGACTGTGGGTAGGAGGCAAGGGGTATGTGCTTGAGGGTATAGACTTGATGGTATGACGAGAGGAAGGCTGAGGCTGAGGTACTGGCTTGAGGCTGGGACGTTGGGGGTTCAACTGGCGTTGGGGGTTCAAGTGTTGGGGGTTCAAGTGACGTTGGGGGTTCAACATTGGGGGTTCAACTCCTGGTGACTGGTGTGCCGTGACATCCGGAGACCATGTACAGCAAGCGTTTGCAATGACTTTGCAATATTTATGCAGATTCAGCAAAAAACCGCTCTTTCTCAGGCATATTTGGGTACAGTACCTCTATTGTCACTCCATTACGGCCAAATGAAAGGCGGGCTAACAGCGTGGTAGTCTATCCGGCAAAGTGCTTCTCGGAAACAGGCAATCTAAGCCTGGGTTGCAATTACCATTCTAGGATACCTTGCCGACTTCCTGCCAATCTGCCACTTTGGATGTGCAGAGAGCTGATCAAGATGGTAGCAATGAACCACAGTATGACACTCTGTGGGGTGTTGCGGTTCGACTGTACAGATACAGTATGACTGTATTGTACAACTGCGATTATACCGTACTGTATTGTACTGATGTATCACCTGAACAGCCGGAGCGAAGCGTCAAAAGCCCTGGAGATTGCTTACTGTATGTGCATGGCAGCTTGCAATTGTACAAGTTGTCTAACAGGGTTGCGTGACGCGATGTGTCCCCTTGTCTAATCGCGTTGCAGTAGCTTCTGACATACATGACGGGCAGTCACGCGGATCATCTGACACATTGTTGCACTAGTCGCATGGAAACACAGTCTCAATATTACCTTACAGTCCAGTATTGTACTGTCCTACTGCTCATGGTCACAGAATCAGATGGGGCAGAACCATCGACGATCTGCTGCTGTTTGCAACGACACAGTGCGAGGTTTAGAGAACTCAGCAGGAAAGTACGCTGTGAGGGATCACGACAAATACAGATAAGGGTACGTGCAATAAGTCATCTGTTTGTGGTGTTCTCTGGCTTTACCCTGTGGACCAATATGTATCGTACAGTACTATACACGAAGTTGAGCTTGTAGCACGGCGACCGATGCATTGGAAAGGACTGCCCAGATTGTCTTTGACTGTCCAGCAGTGACGTGGCGACCTGAGGGAGCAGTACTGTATGTACGTACTTCATCTGCTGTATGGAAATGGAAGGGTACTGGCATCGGCTTTGGAAAGTATCACGAAGCTTGCATTGCAAGCACATCTTGGTCTCACTTGTCACTTGAGAACGGAAGGAGCAAGCCGAGTCATTGGACACTAATCCACTGCGTAATGCTATTCAACATACACCCAAGAATGGTGAGATATGAGAGCGTGGGGTCTTGTCTAGCTTCCTAGCGCACGAACCACACGGCCTGCAGCTTTGAGTACGAGCTCACGTGCTGCAACGGTCATATGAGAACGCAATGAGTAGCGCAAAGGGGAAGCCGCGCTGAGATCGCCACTTGTCAGCCATACAACACTGTGTCAACGACAATGGAGACAACGTCGAACACTGACGACTCCGGATCTCAAACTTCAAAGGTTCGCGTGTCTCAACTGCCTCTGCAGGTAATGGTATTGAATGTGACTAAGCCTACAAATTGAATCCCGCTTCAGGAAGACAGAGCCAGATCTCATCTGCAAGCTGAGATGACCCAGTGGCCGCATCAGGACCAGTCTCCCTCGTGCCCGTGAATCCCCACCAGGCGAGCTCCCGCATGTCGTCATCTAGCTCGAATACTACTGGATTGGTGCCTGAGCCATTCCGGATAACGCCGTACCATCTGACTTGGCCCTCTCCATCTGGATCCCGATTGGCTTTTGCACGATTGAGAACGGACGGCTTAATCTTCAGAGCCTTGAGAACACGAGGTCGCACCGCCTTCAGTGTTTGCGAAGGTAGAACACTGAAGGCAGTGACAGTGCGCTCTGATGGTGAGGTGACAAGTGGCGCTGATGGCGCCACTGAGCTGATGCGCAGCGTGAGATTGATAAGATTGGCTTTGATCGTGTTTGCGATTGGCTGTTCAGATGCTTGCAGAGCATCGACCAAAGTGGGTAAGCCACGGGCTGTGTTGTTGTCAAAGAGAACAAGATCAGTATTTTGATCCGCTGTCGAGAGGTGAGACGAGCTATCTGTGACTTACCGGCTCTGAGAGGCCGCCAGCGCGGTTCTCTGTTTTCGAGCGATCTGGTCAGGATGTCCAGAGCTTCCCCATGGGGTGTCTTCACATTCCTTTCCGCGCTTTCAAGGCGTCTCTCTAGAGTGCTCAGCCACTGGTCCTCAGCGTCTCTCCGTTGACGAGGGGAGATATCGGTGCCATTGAGAGTCATCAGATGTGGCAACCTTGCGATGAGATTCATGCTCCACTTTTGCAGCTCTTGCTGAATGGGAGAGAGCTGCTCGGGATTGTCTGACTGAGCGAGCTCTGCCTCTTCGTTAGATTGCGCTGGAGAAGCTTTCAGTACTCGCACACCCGGGTCGTCACGCTCGCCGTGAGTAAACCAGAGATCGAGGGCGTAGATCGATGTCCAGACCACATCGAGCTCGATGAGCAGGTCATCGGGTCCTCGTAGGTTTAAGAGAGGATTTCCAGAAAGGTTGATTGAGGCCAGTCTCCGGAATCTCTCCTCCCGGCGCGTGCAGTCTGGCGCAGGTATGACGGCGAGCTTGTTATTGGCGAGGTTCAACTTGGCCAGCTCTGGGAGCTCACATAGGGCCATGGCAACGCTCTGCCAATCCGCTATTTCGTTGTTCGAGAGATCCAGCTCTTGCAGAGATCCGAAGATGGGTGGAGAAGGTGCTTGAGTGGCTACAGTGCTCTCGATGCCAGCAAGACAGTTTCTATTCAACTCTAGAACCTCCAGCGAAGGCAGATGTCGAGCTAGGCGGCAGACGTGTGGCCAGTCTATTCGTGTCCCGTTCAAACTGAGCTCTTTGAGTCGCTGGAACCCTTCGGAATGCGCCAAGGTGTCCACCATATCGCGCCCGGGATCCTCTTCCGACCCTGGAGCAGGAAGCCGGTTGAAGTCGAGACGTAGCGTCCGCAGGTGGGCAAGATGGCGTGTTATCGACGCGATCGATGTCCACGAAGAGACGAGAGATTGAGACAGGTCCAAGTGATTGACGTCTGTGGGTGGATGACAAGAGGTACACGTTGGTCGTGTCAGGAGCTCGCGGTCTGGTGCCATTGGCCTCAGTGGGGCACGATGACTCACTCGGTATAGTTCCGCCGATAAGGCGAGCGTTTAGGCTCAGACTAGGTCCAGTGCCGACTCTGCCTATAAGCGTCTTCAGCGCCTCTATTCGGCTTGATACAGGCAAGACGGCGTGTGCATTCTCGGGCCCCTTGTGCTCTGGAGGGCCAGTCAAGGAGACAGTCTTTAAGCTTGTTAGCTGCGTGACCTTGTTGATCACTTTGTCCAGGTTTGGCACCTCAATGTCGATGTCGGCGACAGTCTTTCGAGTGTGGCGCGAAGGGACGGCATCATCTCCACTCGCAACCTGTTCTTCCGTGCGATGCGTGTACCTCGCCTCAAGAGCTTCAAGGAAGGCCACGCCTCCTATGAAGAGGGTTGCAGAAAGACCGGATGGCGGCCTGATGAAACTCGCGACACGACCAGGCCGAGAGCAAGTGAAGTAGCGCGTACCCTCATGTTGACCATCGTGTTTACCTCGAAGAGGGTCGTCCCACTCAATGCCGAGCCAGCTGCCCTCTTTCTTCGCCACACGTCCACGATAACGCACAGTACCATAGCGCACACTGGGTGGGTGTGTCTGGACTTGGGCCATTCGCGAGCCAATGCAGAAATTGTCATCTTCCACTTGTGACACATTGCTATGTATGGCAGCGCTTCGCACTTCCTGTGAAGCCTGCCGCACTGCTGGATCTTTGACTGGCGACGTAGCACTAGCACTCCCTTTCCTAATATCATCTTCTTTGGCCTGCACTGACTGTCCTCCCATTTCATCCGATCCATTGGGCACATCGAGCGTTGTGGACAAGTCCACGTCCGCAACCTCCGCTGCCTTTGGTCTGACGCTGTCGGCAGCTACAGCTGTGCTCCCTGTTGGACCTGCGGCGGCGCTTGAGTTGGCTCCGGTGGCTCCTTGTCCTGAGTCGTTCTGGCAACCTGGTCGGTGCTCTGTGGTGTGCTCGGGCGACTCGGATCTGCTCAGCGACGATGAGGAAGGCGTCGTCGTCAGCGTGCGAGTCCTTTGCTCTTGGGGGAATGAGGACTGCTTTGGTAGCGTACCTTGGTGGCTGGGAGGAGCAGGTTGAGAGGGAACCGCCCCCCTAGACTCGGACAGTTCTAGAGACAGACACTTTGTCGAGTACTGATACCACTCCTCGAGCAGCTCCTCTCGACGGGCTATCTGCTCGCCCAGCCACAAGTCTATGGCAGTCCGGATATCGAGCACGCGCTCCCGGTCACTGTGGAGACAGATCGTACAGGTGTCGAATGACGTCAGTGGTCGTGCATCGCGCAAAGCACATGTACCGCGTACTTACAAACGCTTCATCTCGTCTTTAGTCCGACGGCTGACTAGGTCGAAATTGGCGTGACATTCTAAAGCATACGTCTCCGCCTCCGCGAGATCTTTGAGTGATTCCTCGTAGTAATGGCTTGCCGCACTCTCTCGTTTGACCTTCTCGTGCTTCGTGCGGACGCGGCGGAGCTCGTCGTCGGCTTTCTGCATCAGATGCCAGCAGTCGATTCTTGTGGAAAAAGCTTTCTGTAGACGTCAAGGCAGGCATCAATCCGTCGCTGTAAGTTCTGACACCTAGTCCAGACGAACACCTCTCATTACTCACTCTGACGCTTCCAACGATCCTTTCGTACTCATAGAGTACACTGCCAAAGTGTCGTGTGTCCGAATCGCTTTGAATGTCTTCCAGCTCCTGAGCACGACGATGCAGGTCGCCCAGCCCAGCAAAGCACGCGGAAAGGGAGCGAGAGAGAGAGCTTGCCGAGAGCATCAGGAGGGCATGTGAGTGGGCCGCTATGGAATCAGCGAGATCTGATAGATAAGCGTTGGGGAGGCCATGGCGTCAGAAAAGGTCGCTGTCATCGAGACAGGCTACGACTGCTCACCTTTGCGGGTCTGGGCTAGGGTGTTCAGGCTTTTGACCATTTGTTTGAGTTGAGCTTCCAGCGAATCCAGGTAAGCCCTCTGCTGATCGAACCATTCGTCATGCTCGTGAAACTTCTGGCCGCTATTGACGCCTACAGTACCACTCCATCCCATCCATGTCTTGGCCTCGGGCGTCGGTACTGGGCCTTTCATTGCGTCTCGCAATTTGACGTCTCTGCCAAAATCGTCACTCTCGAGGAACAGCTTCAGGTCGTCATCCTTGGCTAATTCTGGGTGATTGGCTACCTTGTTGACCATCCGCTCGAGGCCTTGTCGTCGAGTCTCGACTAGATCAGGCGAAAAGCGTGAGATTAGACCACGAACCTTCTCCGGGACTGGTGGGATGATGATGCCCGGGTTGTTGTGGACGAGCGCAGCATGGAGCCATCGGAAATCGGAATAACGTCGAAGGACAGAGAATTGGGAAGCGCGGAAGCCAGCAGCATCGGTCTGAGGAAGAAAGCGACAAAGTCAGTAGGTCCCACCTAGAAATTCGATGAGAGCGCCGCTGACTGGTCCGCATTCTCACCTGTGTCCGTACGGTATACAGAATGTGGCCCGTCATGCTCTCGCCGACTTTGTGAGGATCGCCGACCTTGATGAGGAACAGATAGGATGACTTTGCGGTGCCGTTGACCTCGCTGTGAATCTTGCTGTCAGTGTTGGCTTCTGTGGCTTCACGGGCTGAATCACTGGCTAGAGACAGGGAAGATGCTGGTTCTGTACCGTGGGGACGCGGTGACGGTTGGCCATAGATATCGTCATCGGTTGCTCCGGAGGGGGAGTGCTGTGTGCGGCCCACTGTCTCTGCTATAGTACTATCAGATAGCTGTGCAGCTGCTGCCAGACCACCGGCACTACCAAGACTTGTTTGCGTCTGACCTGCCTGAGCTGCAGCAGCATCTGAAGAGTCAGATGGAGCGTCTTCTGAGGCTTGATGGCCGCTCGAGCCGGCGATGTTCGAGTGACTGTCTACCGGTGCTTGAGCAATGTCGGAAGCGGAGACAATCGTCTCGGATGACTCGACGGCCAATGAGATCGCGCCCTCTGCGTTACGAAGCGAGGGTGCTTGCGAAGTGCTCGGACTTCGCACATCAGAAGTGCCTGGTGGCGTTGGTCTCCCTCGAAGGGACGAGAACGAAGGATTTGGGCTCGATGGTGTGGCTAACGGCACCGCACTAGGGGCAGATGCCTTTGCGACAGAGTCATGGCCGGCCTTTGCAGTGATCGTAGACAGATCGCCGGGCTCGGCATGTGGCGCAGGCATTGGCGTCGGGCGACTCGCAGCTCCATCAGGGTGGATTTCTTCCGTCTGATTGATGTATGTCGCGTTCTCGGGGGAATCTCCCGTCCCGCTTTCCTGCGGACTCGGCTCTGCTCCCGATACGCTATCCCGATCCTTGCCTTCTTGAACGCCGTTAGCCTCGTCGGCTGACGAAAGGGCCAAAGCAGCATTGGCTTCAGCTTCTTCTTTTGCTTTGGTGACCAGAGACGCTTGCTGTAAGGCGAATTGGTAAGATTTCGCGGCAATCAGTCCATCAATTCTGGCCGGAAATCATGCACCTGGCCAATGCCGCTCACCTTCTCCATTTCTTCTCCCCACCAAGACTCGAAAGAGACATGAGTCACGTCGACGCCGAATGACTGCAGCACACTGGTATCCATCTTGCAATGTCTGGGCCTCGAGGTAGCGGCCATTGGGTCGACATCGTATTCTGGCTCGAGATGAGTGACGGAAGCTTCAGGTAGAGGGGGTGCGTTCCGATTCTGGAGCCGACACATGACGTTACACACTGATCGGGCAAGTCGATGCATATGTACGTGGGAGGGAGTGAGTGTGAGCATCACAGGAGCAAGAGTTGCGGACAAATATGTGGAGTGAGGCATTGCGGTGAGCGGGGTGTGAGCGCAGATGGTGTAGACCCAAAGAACTCACTGTCATACTTGGTCATGGCCTCAGTGGCTTGAAAGTGCAAAATGGGAGGAAGGTCCTTGTGATTCTCGACTGCCATGCGAGCGATCTGTTCGATTACCTTGGCTACGTCGGCTACATTGGTGGGATACCTCACAGCGTATGCGTCCATGGAGATTTTCCTATCGTCTGATGGCGCGACGATGGTAGTGGTGAGGACGTTGACTGCTGATTCTGAAGGTTCAATGGCATCGCCATATCTGAAGAAGAAGGAGAAGAGCACAGTGAGTCCGTGTCTGTCTGACTGTCTTCTGGTGTACCCAGCACAGACATGCGACTTACAAAACCGGTACACGTAAAGAGGTCGTCTTGCCAGCTTGCCCCTGCTCCGCCACAGCTCTTTCACCCAGCAGCTTAGAAGTACCGTAGGCATTCAGAGGATTGGATTCGCTATCAACTTGATAAGGGGGTCTTGAGCCATCGAAGACATAATCGGTACTGATGTAGATCAACCTCGCCTGTTTGCCTGCCTCCTTGCAAATGCTGGCGATCCTACCTGGTACCTCTGCGTTGAGGGTGTGACACCTGTCTGGGTCTCTCTGTACCACGTCTGGCCTCCTCTCGGCTGCGGTATGTACGATGACGTCTGGCGCAAAGTCGTGTACGAGGGTGGCAAAGGCAACTGTGTCGAGGAGATCAAGCTGGACGAGGTTGCTGCCACTGGCTGCGCGCGAGTTTGCCAAGGCGAGGACCTCGTGGGATTGGGCGGCAAAGTGAGCATGTACTGCGCGGCCTAGCAAGCCGGATGCGCCGGTGACCACCACCTTCATGATGGTCTAGGAGCGGTGAGCCAGTCTGGGATGAGGTAGGGAGTGTGGGGCAAGAGTAGGAATGGGCGCTAGTACAACACCCCTTCGGAAGTGGGCGCGTTGCAGCAGCCACAGACGTCCGTCCGTCCCCTCTTCCCCGCGCGATGCGGCCCGAGCGCAGCTGAGATGCGAAGACGCCCGCCCAGGTGCTGCTCCTGGCTGGCTGGCTGGCTGGCTCACCCAGAATACCATCACTGTCGCGCAAAGGCCTCGAGCATCGATGATGGACGACGACGACGACGACGACGATGCTGTTGACGATCAATAGTGCCTTCCGTCGAGATGAAGAAGACGTCTGACTGTGTATGAAGATGGCGAGCACCTTGTATTCCCACGAGCGCATGGCAAGCCGTAATCACACAGGCTGAACAAGACAGAGGGGATCCCGAGAAGAGGACGGGGAGATTGGATGGGAGATGGGCGAGGTCGCTCTCGCCCAAGGTGCCACTGCCACGGGCCGAGGAGCCCACTGAGATCTATCTAGAATTTTCATATGCTCCTGCTCCTTATCTATCCATGCTATGGATCATCCCTGGCGGATCTCTCTGCTGCAAAGCTGCCCCGGAGAGGCCCAGGATGCTCCCACGGGGGTTGCATCTGAAGTTTTCTTGCTCAGGGGACAATCTGTTTGTTGAAACGGCTGCTGGTGCCTCTCACGCGCCTCTGTCTGTCAGAGGGACGGGTGAGATTTGCGCCCTCGGCAGCGTCAGAGCAGAGGAGGGAAACCCCGAAAGTGGAGGCGTGGCCCGGCGTGCATGGCCTGGCCCTTTTTGCCGGAAGCAGGCGTGGCTCGACGCACCCCACGACTGTCTGGCTGTACCTGCACACGAGCCAAAAGCGGATTTCCCGCCGGGGGTGCAAGTCATCCATCGAGGAAAGGGACAGATGGATGGATGGATGAATGGCTGGATGGCTGGATGGACGGATGGGACGAGGAATTGAATGGACAATCGTCTTTCACCTTGACCTCTTCTCCGCACCCGTTGATTGATCCCTACCCTTCTCCCCTTGCAACACCTCTACCTTTCCGTCCCTCACTCCATCCTCCCCTCCTGCCCGTCCTTCCGTCTCTTTCCTTCATAGATAGATAGACAGACAGACAGACAGACAGACAGACAGACAGACAGACAGACAGCCGCTAGCATGAAGGCCGTCGTCAAGTATTGGGCAGCCATTGCCCTGGCCACCTTTGTATGGAGCATCACACCCATCAGTTGGCTCATTGTCCTCTCCAAGCTCTACTCCCAACATACCCATCAAGCCTCCATCTGGGATCGACCCAATCGCAACGTCTTTCGAAGCATAGTCTGGTACTATGCCCTATGCGAGATACCCTTCTCCCTATACCTCGCAAAGCTCTCGAGGCGTGTTCAGCGCAGACTCCCGCCCCCAGAAGTAGACAATGACACACTCGATGCCCTCCTCAAGATGTGTCTCGACATCAGCGTACCCACCGTAGGCGAGAACGGCTCGGAAGAGGTAACAGAAGAGGAACGCATCACCATCTTCTCCTCCAACTTCAAGCGCTGGTTCCACGGCGCACATTTTGAAGACATCAAGGCAGACAATGTGAGAGAGTGGCTCGCATGGGCTCTGGGCGGCCGAGAGCTACACGAGTGCAAGGAGGATGCCGATCGCCACGCCCTCATTGAGAGAAGCCTTAAATTCGTAGAGGAAAAGGTCGGATACCACTTCGAAGAAGGCTATAACCCCAAGTGCACGGCAATGCGGCTCACGTTGGACCCCTGCCTGACCCTACATCGTCCCCTTGGCTATTATGTTGTTTGTAATGGTGTTTCCGAAGGCAGTGAGTACACGCGATGGCGAGAGACCTTCGCCAGGTCAGTCTACATGTTGCCCCTTCTGAACTTCTGCAAATTCCCCCCTTCCCCTGCCCGCATGGACTGTCAGCAATTGCTTGGTTGCGATACGTTCATGGCTTCCGTGTAGAGACTGAGCTAGGCTGCGACTTCCTCGTACGTCCACGCGAAGCCGGAGTCGCTGCCACGCGCTCTACCCCTCCAGTCCTGTTCCTCCATGGCCTAGGCATCGGCCTGGGACAATACATTGCCTTCCTCAAAAGGCTCGTCGTGTACAAAGGGCCTCTGGTCATCCTCGTCCAACCCCACATCTCGACCTCCATCACCCACCCTCGCTTCCTAGACGCCCCCTCTAGAGACGATCACGTCGAGGCAGTCCAGACGATCATGAAGAGGAATCATTTTCAGGACGCTACGATCGTCAGTCATTCCAATGGAACTATGTGAGTAGAGTCAGGATGTCGCATGAAGCTCACGCAACCAGTAGCTCACCTCTCATTTCACACCTGACCTTAGGGTTCACGGCTGGCTCGCCCGAGGAGCCCCCGAAATCGGTAAACGACATATCCTGGTCGACCCGGTGAGTCAGGCAAGCGGCGTACAACGCCTTGTCTACCGCTGATCACTGACGTTGCCAATCGCTTGCTTATCGGCCCCTCTAGGTCTGCTTCCGACTGTGGGAGGGAGGTGAGTGCGGCTGCGCGACAAGTCTGACCCTACTCGCTTCATTCTCCGTATGCTGACTGTCCGACTTTGTTCCTACACAGCTACCTGCTTCGCTTTCCTCGGCAAGAAGTGGTCTAGCGGCATCGAAGTGCTTCTAGGTTACTTTGTGGCTCGAGAAGTAGGAGTTGCCTACACCATTGGTCGCAGATTCATTTGGACTGACATGATCTGTGAGTCCAGAGCGTACGTAGAGATAAAGTGCCGACTGCTGATACCACGTCATCCGACCCTGCAGTCTGGCTCCATGATCTGGGCACCACATTTGACCATCGCCGACTCTCGGTTGTCATGGGCGAAGATGATGTGTAAGTACATGACTGCTATGTCGAAAGAATGTCGTTGCTAGCCTGATCTGACAGTCAAGCGATCGCTACTCCCGCCGAATCTCTTCAGCCTCATCGATGTACCCGCAACGTATCAGTACCTGAGGTCTTCCAATGTCCCCGACGACTGCATCGCCATCTGTCCCAAAGCACAACATGGAAAGGCTCTGTTCTTGCCTTCGCAGGGTATGGGACTGGTCTGCAAGGAATTGGGGATTCCTGGTCCAACCTGAAGTCGATGATGCATACGCGCACACGAACACACACACACACACATATACAACTACAGACACCTTCAGACAGCTCCGCTTGCGATTAGACGACAATTCCCTCATAGATGCGGTGTTCCGATGTAATGTTTGTTTGCATTTGAGTTCTATTTCTGGATGACGTACCGCACTACCTTTGGGCCGCGAGGCCAGCACATCTATAATGTAAATCACCTTCACTTGTTCAGGCGGTGCTCCCGCTTTGCTGCTACTTCCCTTTTCAGACGGAGGAGGGCGTCTGCTCGGATGCTGGGCGTAGGCGTAGGCGCAGGCGCAGGCGCAGGCGGCAAGGGGGGTTGAGCCTGTACCAGCGGGTTTCCCCCAGGCGTCGCACTTCCGGCGCAGGCCGAGACTGAGTCTGGAAGCGGAGCGCCAAGACGAAGGGAGGGCGCTTCTTCTTGCTCGCTTAGAGCGGCTCAGGGCGGTAGCGAGCTCAGCGGCTGAGACACCACCACCCGCTGACGTCTGTGTGCTTCCCATCGCCTTCACCCTTTGGCCCCTACTGGAACATAGCCTCGCCTTCACCTCGACCGTTGGCTGGACTCCGGCGTCGTCGTCGGTGGTCTGTGCCTAGTGGTACCTGATCTTACAGGCACTTGGAGCACTGCCCTTGCACCATCACAACGCGGGTCCAGAGTGGTCTGCCCTGAATCTCTTCCCCCGAGCAGCACTCTACATAAAAGGCGTCCAGGAAGCCACTCGAGTTTCCCGTCGCTTCCCCAATCTTCAACTTTCACTTCTTCCGTGGTCGGTAGCATCACCATGCGCGCACAACTCCTGTCCCTCGCGGCCTCTGCCACCGCCCTCATCCTGGCCTCGACTTCCAATGGTGCTCCCATCATGGACGAGCTGTGGGCGCGTGCGTCTTCCTCGGTGACCACAGATGTGAGCGTTGCCAGCGCAAAGCAATACACCCACGTCGTCGTGGGCTGTGGTCTGGCCGGTCTGACCGTGGCTGTGCGCTTGTCAGAAGACTCCAGCAACACCGTCTTGTGCATCGAAGCAGGAGGAGATTCCAGGACAGACTCGAGGTGAGTCGAGAACGGGAGGACGCGCTTCCTGATTCCTCTTGCTGAATGTCTCTCCTCCACGGCCTTGATCAACACAGGGTGCAATCTCTCGGGGCATATGGCCAGGCTTTTGGCTCGTCCCTAGACTGGAGCTTCAAGACGACTTCTCAGGCCTCGACTGGAACTACCAAGACCATTCATGCCGGTAAGACGCTGGGTGGATCCACTGCCATCAACGGAGGTTCCTGGGGCAGGCCCGACAGGTCGCAAATTGACGGCATCGGTAGTCTGGGCAACGAAGGTTGGAGCTGGGACGACCTTGAGACGTTCATGAAAAAGTCAGAAAACAGTCACGCACCCAACTCAGCTCAGAGCTCAGCGGGCGCACAGTGGGACTCGGACGCTCATGGCACTAGCGGACCCCTCGATATCAGCTTCCCGCCCTCGATGTACAGTGGTCCTCAGCAGCCAGCTTTCGTCCAGGGTCTCTCGCAAGCCCTGAACGTCACTCAAGTAGCAGACCTGTCCTCAGGAGACGTCACTGGCGTGGTAGCCTACACGCAAGACTCAATCCTACCAGATGGCGACCGCGTTCGCGTATCATCTGCCACGGCTTACCTCTCCCCAGTTGAAAGCTCGCGATCGAACTTGGTCGTACTGCTCAACTACCGAGGTATCTCTATCAAGTGGGCGTCTGGCAGCGGTGCCCGTGCCACTGGCGTAGTAGCGAAGTCCTCGGCCACTGGTCCCTCTACCACATTCGGAGCCTCAAAAGAGGTCATCGTTGCGGCTGGTGCCCTTCGAAGTCCCGTCTTCCTGGAATCATCCGGCATCGGCGATTCTTCCATTCTCTCCAAGATCGGCGTCTCCACTAAAGTGAACTTGCCAGGTGTCGGTCGCAATCTTCAAGAGCAAACGATGAATTCCATCGGCACGCCTTCCGGCAGCTACGACTTTGGAGGGGACGGTCCCTCGAATGTCATTGCCTTCCCGAACATCTACCAATTGATGTCGAACGCAAGTGACGTGCGTAGCTGGATCGAAGCGAACATGAACGACTGGGCTCAAGCGCAAGCCAACGGCGGCTTCGTCATCAGCAAGGAGTCTCTATTGAAGCAGTGGAACAACACACTCACTCTTCTCTTCGATAAGAAAGTCGGAGCCGTAGAATTCTTTGGGGACTCGGGCTACCCCGCTGGCGGCTTTGGCATCGATACCTGGCAGATGCTTCCCTTCTCCAGGGGATCGATTCATGCCACCTCTGCCTCTGGCTTTTCCCGATCTACTATCAACCCAAACTACTTTAGTGTACCTGCAGACATGCAAATCACAGTCGCAGGTCTTCGAGGAGCTCGCAAAGTACTCAAGTCCAATGCCGTCTCGCAGGCATTGGGTCAGAGTGAATCGGTTCCCGGCTTCCAATTGATTCCTGATGGCTCTAATTCAGGTCGTTACGACCGATGGGCCAGCTGGGTCTTGGACCCCAACGCCGGCTTTTCTTCGGTCGCTCATCCCATTGCCACCTGCTCCATGCTGCCAGAAGCTGATGGCGGTGTTGTTGGATCCGACTTCTTGGTGTACCACACGCAGAATGTCCGCGTGGTCGACGCCTCGGTCCTGCCCACACAGATCTCCGCCCACCTGTCCGCAACGCTATACGGCATTGCTGAGAAGGCTGCCAGCGTCATCGCTGCTGCGGCATGAAGGGCCGTTCGCTCCCAGAGGTCCATCAAGCCTCCCATCCCGTCACCGCATACATAGCGTTGCGCACAGCTGCTGCACAACTTTTTACTCTCGCTCTGCCTCTCTTCGCCTTCGCTTCGGCAGCATGTGCCGCATACCCTTGTTTACCGCTTTGTTTTTTTTAGTCCCCCAAGGCATCGAGCTGAGCCAACAATGAACATTCCTTCAATCGCCTACGAACATGATATATCCAAAGAGAGCAGTGTAGCCAACGCCAGACGCGTGTGGAGGATGGACGGGAGTGTTGCGGAGTGAGAAGTGGCGCAGAGGAGTAGTCTATTTCGCCAAATTTCTACCTTGATATCCACTTCCTACCACACCGCCGGCCCCGCGAAGCTACTCACCAGCGCGCGTACGAGTCCAGCCACTGAGCCAGCGATGCCCCTGGTGATACTGCCTTCGCTTCTACGCGGCCGAGCGGGAGGCAGACCATCCATGATCGTCCCCTCGTCTTCGTCTTCCTCTTCTTCCTCATCTGGTATCCTCAAGACACTAGCAGTCGGCGTCACTGGCTATTGCGCCGCTTGGGGCGTCTACTACCTCGTGCAGGATACCTTCAGGAACTCACACATCAAGAAGAGGAAGCGGAGATTTGACAACAGAGTGCGCAGAAGCTCGTCCAAGCCGTCACAAGACGTATCCAAGGAGGAGAGGAAGGCTGCTGTCATCGAGCGCTTTGCCTCCCTCTCTGTCCTCGGACGGTATGTGAATCCCTTTGGCGAGTGGCGCGAACAGGGAGCTTGGGAGTACGTTGCTTGGAAGTCTTGGGTGCTCTTCATACAGGGTCGACTGTGGTATGATGGAGGATTGGCGAAGTTGAAGAAGACCAAGGAGGGAAGAGCCAGAATCGAGGCAACCCTCCCGGTCCGGCAACCTGAGTGGGACAAGTATCCTCAGGCAAGCAGTGGTCGGAGCCCAGCAGAGGAGGAAGACTGGCATAGGATGAGCAAGAGCGACTTCGAAGGCGATGACGGCGCACTCAGCAGACTCCCATCAGAGGAGGCCAAGATTCGGTATACTTGGTGAGTCCTGCTGTCCGCGAGCTCTGAGTGATGGGATTGGCGGCAATCTGATCCTCGCGATATCCCTCACAATCCATCCGCTACAGGGTGGGCCAGTCTACATTCTTGATCGCATATGCGGGCATCACTATCCTCACAGATCCCGTCTTTGAGGTGCAGCCGGTACCGTCTGCGTGGAGCCCCAACCGGATCACAGATGTGCCTTGCACAATCCAAGACATTGTCTCGCGCGTGCAGCTGGACATTGTTCTTGTCTCACATAACCACTTTGACCACTTCGACAGCCGATGTGTTCCTCATGTACCCGATACCACCACGTGGATCGTCCCCTTGGGCATGAGGAGACTCCTCCGGTCGTGTGGCGTCAAGAACGACCATCAAATCATCGAGCTGACCTGGTGGGAAATGAAGGAGCTCGAATACCATGGAACAAGACTAGACATTCAATCGATACCCGCAATACACTGGAGCGGTAGAGGTCCCTTCGACGTAAATCAGAGCTTGTGAGTGCGCCGTAGCTCCCCAGACAGAGGATCTGAAAGAGCGACTGACGATGACCTTTACCACCGCAGATGGACGTCCTACTCTCTGCGCATGACCCCAGCGCCGTCGCTGCCAGCAACACACATCTACTTCTCTGGCGATACTGGCTACTCGGCGACTTATTACCCACACATTTCTTCCGTCTTGCCTTCAGCTCCTGATCTCGCCTTCCTGCCCATTGGATCGTATGCCCCCCGATGGCATATGCGACCACAGCATGTCTCTCCCGCGGATTCTGTTCAGATTGCGGAGGACATTGGGGCAAAGAAGGTCGTAGCAATGCATTGGGTGAGTTTGAAGGCAGCCGAGGTCGACGCGATTCCGTGGGGGTTATGAAGGACCTCTTCTGACCATCGATTCTTTGCGTGTTGATTTGCCAGGGTACTTGGCTGATGAGTGATGAGGAATGGGACGAGCCTCCTCAGCTGCTACGCCAAGCGTTACAAGAGAAGCAAGGCATCAAAGTCAAGGGTCAGCTGTCGTTTGAGACTGTAGAGCTGGGAGCGACCAACGAGCTCGCTCTTTAGTAGAGCCTTGCGAGTTGATCAAAGGCATGGGGATGAGCAGTGCAAGCTCGGCAGGCATGCAGAGGGCGCAAACTGTCATTGAAGTCATCGAGCGTCAATCTCATCATAGACTTATTTTCGCAACCGAGACTGAGACGATCATCGAGAGGTGACCATGGCCCTGTGTTCACCGGACGCCCGCAGACTCGAGGCGGTGTGAGATCTTTCCCCGCATTTGCATCTCCGACTGGCTGGAAGAAGGGCATTGTGATTGTGGAGCATACATGCAGTCGTCCTACTCTGACGTCCAAGCTCGCCCTCCTCGTAGTATTGGGTACCTGTCTGACACCACCTCCGCTGCTCCAAGGGGTTGGTCATGACCAGTGACGCCAACAAGGCTGCGGCAGCGCCCTCGCCGCTCCCTTCAACCCACAGAACGCTACGGAGGAGGATAGCGCGATGGTTCCTCATCGCTCTGGCGTCGTATGTCTGTTTCATCTTCTCCCTGACGATTCCCGTAGTGCAGAAACACTTCGTCTTTGCCCACGCCATCAAATTTCCCTTCTTTGCCGACTTCGACGCACCCGAGGAATATGGCCTTGCGCCCAACAAGACACGTAATATGCGCCTCAAGGGCGTCGATGGCAACTTTATAGGTGCCTGGCACGTTTTGCCCGATGCCGTGTATCGCTCTCAAGTACCCTCACTGATACCCAGCACCAGTGTCCCTGCAAGAGATTCCGACGAAGCCTCCACCGAGACAAATAGCGGCAGCAATGAGTCTGAAGTATTCCAGCGTGCCCTCTGCACTCATCCCGTCGTAATCTACCTGCATGGCAACGCAGCAAACAGAGCCGCGCCGTTCCGGACGGCGGCGTATGCCCAGCTTTCCAGTCGCCTACAGGCCAATGTGGTGGCCATTGACTACCGCGGCTTCGGCGACTCGCAAGGTACACCAAGCGAAGAGGGACTGAACGCTGACGCCAGACTTGCGTGGGACTGGGTACAGGAGATGCGTCGGGCGTGCGAGCCACTGCACTCGCCAGGCAAAGATGTTCTAGTAATGGGTCAGTCGCTTGGTACCGGGCCAGCTACAGCGCTGACACTCCAGCTTGCGATGCAAGGAACTCCTCCTCAGGGTCTGGTCTTACTAGCTCCCTATCGATCCTTCAGTCAGCTCGCAGCCGGCTTCAGGATCGGAGGGATCCTACCCGTTCTCCTTCCTGCTCTCTACCTTTTCCCTTATGCCCAGGCCGGGCTGGATCTTGCACTCCGTACAAAGTTTGACAGTGAGGGGGCACTGGCTGGTCTCGACACAGCCATACAGGAGGGAAGATCTCGGTTGCACACAGACTCGAAAGGAAGCTCAGGCTCTACTAGAGGAGCAGGACAGGCCTCTACTTGGCCGCACGTCGTGATCAGTCACGCCATCAACGACGACGTCATACCTCACTCACACGGTCAGGCGATCTTCGACAAGCTGCTCGAGATGGAGTGGATATCGAGGCAATCCCTGAGGGCTGCGAATAGGACACCGGGCGATATCGTCGACGAGAAATCACCAGCAAAGCTCCGGATACAGGACATACAGCTGAGCTGGACCTCTGCACGCCGCTTCTTTCGTTGCTCTCAGACGAGCCAGGACCGGCGTTCCGATCAGCTCGATGTCGGCACCACCATGGAAGAATATGGCGAGGAAAAATACTGCCCTTCAGTCGCGCTCCTCCTTCCAAAGCGGGGTGGCCACAATGTCGTGTCTGAGGGCACGGTTGATCTGATTGGCGAGCTGACACGGGTGCGAGGCAACGCTCATCTGGACAAAGCAGAGCAGCCTTGGCTTCCTGCACAACGTAGAGACAGAGAGCTAAGTTACGTATTAGATTGAAAAAATCTCGATCAATCGTCATTGGTCAGCGAATGAGTGTGCTAAGCAGGGGTGCTGGAGCGACAACAAAGTATGGCGACAGACTACCATTCAGGATATGGTAGTCACCCAGAGAAAGAGCCTAGCGATCGTCTCATGAACCACGTCCTCTTTCCCAATCACAGTTTACCCCTGCGTTGATGTCAGCCGACGATCTTGAGATCCAGCGCCCTCGCTACCGCTGCGTATTTGTCCGTCGCCTCTTCGATTCTCTTCTGCGTACTCTTTCCCGCTCCATGTCCTGCATCCAGCTCTACCCTAGCCAGTACCGGATTGCGCGCGTTGCTCTCTGCGCCTCCTCCCACGTCCTTGGAGGACAGCTGGTGCTGTAGCTCGGCGGCTAGCTTGAAGGTATGCGCTGGAGAGACACGATCGTCGTGGTCAGCTGTGAGGAGAAAGATGGGAGGGTAGGGGTTCGTAGAGGACGAGGCGCGCGAAGGGTCGACGTTGTGCAGGGGAGAGATGGTGAGCTGATAGTCAAGGTCTTTGGGCTCCTCTGAACAGCCAAAGTCTAGGGTTGATGAGCAGAACGACAAGTCTTATCAGCAACAGTTTCACTCGGCACCTCTTGCGCTGTAGTCACACTCACCTCCGACCCAAGCTCTACCAATGCTGAAGAGATGGAACCTGAGCAAATCCAACACTCCGACCTCTGCAACGCTCGCACCAATGCCATGCTCTTCCTTTGCCATATTGGTACTGGCCATCACCGTCAGACCTCCATTAGATCCTCCGTTGAGTACAATCTTGCCCTTGGCAGCAATCTTGTTCTCGTGCAGATACTTGGCCCCAGAGAGGACGTCTTCGAAGGTGTGGTGCTGTGCTCATCATAGGAAAGTCGTCAGCTGATACTCTCTTAGTCAGGAGGCCCTCTTTATGTCTCGCTTCTCCCTTCCCTTCACTCCTCGTGGGATGTGCTCACCTTGTTGAACCTTCGTCCAGCCTCATGCCACGTAGCGCCCCACTCTCCTCCACCCCTGGCATTGACGACGACGAGTACACCGCCGAAGAGCTTGGTCCAAGTCATGAGTGAGGGCGAGAAGAAGGGATTGAGAGGGATCTCGAAGCCACCGTACGAATACAGCCAAGCCGGGGCTGTGCCGTCCAGCTTTGTGGACTTGTGGTAGGTGATGAACATGGGCACTCTGATGAAGCGAAGGTGGCCAACGATTAGAGTCAGTATTGAGTTCCTCAGCTGGGAGTGCAATTCTGTCATACCAACTCACCTTGTGCCATCCACTGACTCAAACCACTTCTGCTCGCTGATGAAGTCATCTGCACTGATGCCAGGCACGACCGTCTCCCTGTAGGTGCTGATCTTGGGCTCCTCCTTGGCTTTGCTGTCCTCGCTCCATTCCAGCCTGCTGATTATACCTGGTGACGTAAAGCCGGACGTCTGTACAAAGGACAGTGTGTCTTCCCTCTTCCCACTGATTTGACCAATGGAGCCGACAAAATTGGGAAGTAGCCGCCCCACCTTCTGACCGCTTTGGAGGTCGTACTGCCAAAGTTCGTCCTTGACGTTTCGAGAGTAGACGAGAAGTAGCTTGTCGTTTGCCAGGACGGTAGCAGTGCCGAGGGTTCCACCCTCTGCATCTTCCTCGATGTGTTCCTTGAACTCGAGGGTCGGCTCAAGTGGGAGCTTATAGAGTTGCTGCTTTTCGATCTCTTTGCCCTTGGAAGGATCGATGGTCAACTTGAGGATGCGGTAGCGCGGGGCTTTCCGGTTGGTGGTGAAGTAAAATGTGTGGTCATCGTTGGCCAGGTAGTCTAGTTCGTCTTCGAATTTGTCGGATAGGCAAATCCACTTGAGTTTGGCGACCCCTTCTTGGGAGCCAAAGTCGACGCCTTCGAGCGGAGCGACGTACTTGCGCGACACGGGGTCAGTGTTCTTGCTCTGGCTGATGACTAGGAACTTGCCGTCATTAGTGATCATAGGCGACCACATTCCTGTCTTGACGTCTGGGTCGACGTCGCAAATCAGAACGTCTTGCTCTTGCTTGGTGCCCAGGACGTGGTAGTAGAGTCGGGCATCGGTGTTGACGTCAGTCTCTGTTCCCAAGTCAGCACTGCCCGACGATGGGGCCGGCCACCTGAGATAGAAGACGCCCTTGTCATCGTGAGTCCAAGTTCCGCCCGAGAACTTGACGTGGGTGAGCACATCGGGGAGACGGTCTGTACCGCCCATGGCCGCCTCGGGTACTTCCTGACCCTGTTCTGGAGCGGGAGGGTCAAAAGGCTTGTCCGTGGTGCGGAAGTAGAGGACGTTCCCTGGTTGATGTGGGGTGGCAAGACAAGGCGAAGGTGCTGTGAGTGATGAACGCAACCTAGGAACTGCCACTTTCCCTTGACTTACAGTCCGATCCTGCCTTTGAGATCCCGTAGCACACTAGCTTGCCTGACTTTGAGAAAGAGGCGCTAGCAAGGGCCACCGACCCATCTTTGCTGAGCCGGTTTTCATTGAAGAAGACTTCTCCGGGCGTGGCTTTCGGGTCGGCGCCTTCCTTGGTCACGCCTTCGATGTCCTCCTTTGTAGCTCTGAAGATCCTCGACTGTGGATCGAGACCAGAATTGTAAGAGTAATAGAATCTGCCGTCATATTTCAGCGAAGGACATGAGAAGCGAGGGTAGGCGAATGTTCCCTCGAGGCGCGACTTGATCTCATCCCAATGAGGGTAACCGCGAATGTACTTTGCAGCGAATTCGGCTTGCGCTTCGACCCATTCCTTGGTCTCTTTGCTCTGGTTCGGCGGTGTTTCGAGCCATCGATAGGGGTCAGTCACCTTGACTTCTCCCTTTGCCTCTGACTTGTAGGTGTCCACCACCGACTCGTCTCGACGGGCCTTGGGAAAGGGGTTGGCAGAGAGGTCCCAGCCGGGAGCGGTGTGCTGAGCCGTGGAGGCGGTAGCGGTCATGTTGCGGGAGCTTGGAGGGGTGCCAAGATATGTTTGTGGACAAGAGGAGGTTTGCGAGGTACAAGGGTGGAGAAGTTGGTGCTGGGGTGATGTGATGCGGCTCAGGGCGGAAGGCACGCGGGAAGTGATTGGCCGGAGCGAGTGCAGGAGAGCAATGGCCATCAAGGAGAAGATGCGAATGACTGGCCGCAGTCTGGACCAAGTACGGAGACGATGATGTCTCGACTTGTGTGAGGGGGGCGTGTGATGGTGAAGAGAGTGGAAAGAAGGAGTGAAGATATGAAAGGGGGGGGAAATTGCGGAAGTGGTTGCTTGGCCTTGCGTCGTCTGACAGATGCACTGCACGCGTGGTGGTGCGCAGGGTGGCCCAAGCGCAGGAACAAGATTGGCTCAGGCACGCCGTCGAGGGAGTGAGTGCCTGGCCGCCCCTCCTCGTCCTCGTCTTCGGTACCGACACCCTCACCATTGCTGCCACGCCCCGACGTCGGCCTCTGTCCCTTGTTGCGGATCCCCCCCATCGTCGTCATCGTCATCGTCCTCCTCCACCTCGTCTTCTTTCTCTTTTCAGGTCTCTGTCTCCTAACTTTATTCGCCATTCGCACCAATGCGTTCTTCCTTCTTCATCCTACTCCTGCCCTTGCTCGCTTGCTACTTTCCCGTCCAAGCCATACAGCCTCTCTTCAAGTGAGTTGGAAATTAGGAAGGATAAGAAAGCTACTAAGCCTCCGCTGTGTCTGACCTTGATCTCTCTCTGACCCTTTCTCCATTCAAGATACCACGCATCGCTCTCGGGATGGCATCGGCATCGCGACTCAACAGTCCAGAAGGCGGCCCTCACCACCGAGTCCTTGCCACCCGGTATTCATCAAGGAACATTCACTCAACCCCTCGACCACTTTGACGGTACCACCAACCTCACCTTCGAGCAGCGCTATTGGTATCACACTCGCTACTACAAAGCTCCGCATCTCCGCACCTCTTCACGCTCTGCTCAGCCGGAGCCTGTCCCAATCTTTGTGCTAGAGGGAGGAGAGACAAGTGGCGCCAATCGGCTGTCTTACCTGGATCACGGCATCGTGGACATCCTTGCCAAAGCAACCGGAGGCATTCCAGTGGTACTCGAACATCGCTACTATGGTACAAGCTATCCACCACGCCACGCCTTTGGCAAAGGCCAAAAGTGGACCGTGGATGAGCTCAGATGGCTCAACAATCGGCAAGCCGAAGAGGACTCGGCTCGATTCGTCAACAGTCTCAAAGGCGCATTCGCAGGAGTCAATGAGGACCTGAGTGCATCCAATCAGCCCGTAATCAGCTATGGCGGCTCCTACGCCGGAGCCAGGGCGGCTCACCTCAGAACCGGCCACCCCAACGATTTCTGGGGGGCCATTGCCTCTTCGGCGGTCACTGCAGCTCTAGAAGACTTTCCACAATACACGTATGGCATCGCTAGGGGAAACAATGTCACCAGTATCCAAGCTATCCAGGCAGCCATCGTAGCCATCGATCGTATCATCGCTCCGGATGGCAAATATTCAACAGTTACACAGAAGAAAGGTGTAGCAAGTACAAAAGAGCAACAGAAATTCCTCAAATTGGTCAATTTGGAGGGTCTTTCAGACTTGACTGACTTTGCAGAAATTCTGATGAATCCTCTCGGAGATGTGAGACGGTGCATGCAGGTGCGGGGGAATTCTCAATTGGCTGCTGATACTGCCTCCTCCTCCTCTTTCTTCCTTATGCTGCACAGTACCAATCGGTCAACTGGGACGATGCTCTATCTCCTCCCATGTGGACCGGGTTTCTCCGCCATATGGCTTCCAATCCCGACACAATGTCTTTCAAAGCTCTGAAGGCTCTTGCTCATGATCTAGACCTATCATCCTCGTTGCCAGATGAAGCGCTTCGCTTGCTCGACTATGTCAGGAGCAACTACATTGACCCCTGCCGAAACGAAGGTACAGACAAGGGAGCGGACGACTGTCTCGCCCAGGACTGGGAGAACTTCATCGAAGCAGACCACTTGACAGTGGGAAAAGCATGGAGCTTCCAAGTTTGTACCCAGGTCAGTCGAATGAAGCGCAAGTCAGCGGCATAAATCCAAGAAAGCTTTGCTAACGTCGCGATCGTCTCACCTGTGTACTTTTCTTGAGCAGTGGGGTTACTTCATCACAGCCCCTGCCGTTTCGCGGCCTAACGAAGACCCCGCTTCGCCGACGACATTCGCCCCTGCGTCTGGTCCCAAGCTGATCTCCTCCCTGTTGGATCTGAAGCGCACGAGTGAAGTCTGTCGCAAAGGCTTCCCTGATGGTGAGCATTTCAAGATGCCATCCAGGCCCGATCTTGGCGATGTGAACAGCCGGGGGGCTTTCTCAATTGAAATGGACCGACTGGCATTCGTCGATGGAGAGTTCGATCCATGGTGAGCATATGACGAGGTTCCAACCTGGAAATGACACTTCTCTGATCGCTCCTTTCACCTTCTTTATGTCTCCCCGTTTAGGCGCGAGGCGACTCCGCACTCAGAAACCTTTGCTTTCGGAGGCGCTCGACCCAACACCCTGACTCGCCCGTTCATCCTCATTCCAAACGCCACGCATCATTGGGATGAAAATGGTCGGCGGCCTCAGTCTTCCCCTGGCGGTCACGAGGGCCCAGGACACTACGTCTTCCATCAGTCAAAGTCCCAGATGCCCTTTGAAGCTCATGAGGGTGGGCTGCAAGACGCAGGCCTAGCTGCCACAGAGCGACCAGACTCAGTCCTTCCACCCGACTATATTCAAAGGACTCACGACATGTTGATCGAAGGTGTGCGGAGTTGGATAGAGGACTGGAAGAAGGAAAAGGGCTCCAAAGACTCGGCTCGTGTCCGAAGTAGGAGGAGATAGAGAGAAGATGGAGTGGGATGATCGAGCCTGGGCCTACCACCTTCTTCTCTTCCACTTGCACATCTTCAGGGCCATATGACAGACAGGAACAATGCTGCTTCTACAGTTTATGCTCTCTTGTGACCTGCCATACAAGCGCGGGCTTGCGCAGCAGGGCAAGGTGGTGTTTTGGCTAGGAAGGGCGCATCCATTCGATCAGCCACTGAGCAACTAACAGTATCTCGTGGTCGAGTCCCAGGGCTTAGCCTAGCATCGGGTCTCAGGATTCCACCTGAATGTCCCATGTCCCGAGGTAGCGTCCTACCGCGTGTGTGTTGGCATAGGCAGCCTTTACCCCTTTACAAGACGGCGAGGGCGAGGGCGGTGACTTTGCACGTTGGGAGGCCGCCTCGTTCAGACCGCTTGCAGCAGCGCCACTCCAAGGGGGGGCTGATGCTACACAAGGCCCGACTATCGTGCGTACGGGCCGAACCTTGGGCTGCTTTGGGCCGAGGTAGATGCGCAATACAGGGCTTAGAGGGTACCTGAGCTGTGTGCTGCCTGGGATGCGTCGAATCTCGCGTAATCTCTGGTGACGGTGACGGTGACGGAAGTGGTAGCTCCGAGATGTGCAAGCTAGCTAAAAGCTGCGACAGAGCTCGAATCGGGCTTGTGAAGCTCCTGGAAAGTGCCTCTCTGTCTGTGAGAAGGGCGGAGGATATGTCACGCTGGTAGGAGATGAACCTCGTGCTCGATCCCCACTCCGTCGGTAGGTGTAGTGGCCACTCCAACGCAGCGCACGCACAGTGCTTTTCTCCGATCACCTGCACCGAAGCTTGTCAGATGCAAGGAACGCCGCACGGCCGTGTGGGGCATTTCTCCGCCGCGCCTACATACCGCGATCACACTGGCCATGTGCCTGCTCAGGGCCATGCTCCCACGCCACGAACAGCCACTCCAGACGAGGGCAGAGGTAGACACGATCAGGATCAGCCCGCACTGCCCAGCTGCGCAGCCTGTGCGCCTCTTCACCCTATGCGGTCTTGGCGAGTGTGGAGCTGACGAAATGTTGACCTCGTCGATGTTCTCCCGCCGCTGCCGCCGCCCCTCTGCTTGAAGCCAGACTCAACCACTATCGCCCGCCTCTCGGCCTCTTTCGCACTATGTCTCCGGTGTCTGCCTTGAAACTTGAGTGCGACTGCCCTACGCACGTCACTCGCCGATTAACAGATTGCTGCTTACTCCCTCTCATCTTTGGACGCCACCATCTCCTCGATCTATCTCGTCATCATCGTCAACGTCTCGCTTCGTCCCTTCAATATCATTGTTAGCAGTAGTGTAGTGAACTCGCTCTTGCACTCCCACCTCACTCCACTGCACGGGCAGATCCCTGCCATATCGGATTAGCGATCCGGCTCCATCGGAGAATTACTCGGCTCATTCTGCAGTCTTGCAGAGCTGGGACACAGCATCCGATTGCTTCACCAATGCACCGGGACGTCCCAAGAATCAGACAGCCTTCATGTCTGACCCATTCGCCTCAGCTGGGCTTACGACCCTGGATGAGCTCGTGATGGCACTGCAAATGGCTCTCGATGCAAGCTCAGTCACCAGCCCCAGAAAATCACAGATTGCCATCTTGGTGCTGACAGGAATCACGGCCCTTGCCTCTCGTGAGTAGGCAGGGGTATCAGCAGGCAAGAAGGGGTGGGGCGGCTGCAGAAGAACATCAACACACAACTGACGCTTCCTTCTTCGACGTCACTGTCCTCATACAGCCTTGCTCTTCTACAAACTCTGGCGTTCCAAAAAGCTGTGGTTCTTCCGTCTACAAAGGAGATCCCAGGGCACTTACATCGTGGTCAGTAGCCGGGGGGTGCTGAGAGGTCCAGGGGACCTCATGATTGGCTCACACAGCTTTGCCTTCGGACCAGCCCACTGACACGTCTTCATTCCTGTCCCCGTCTTGCCTCCCCAGCCCCACCCCCTGACTGTATTCGCTGCGATCCTATCCGTGACGGAAGTTCTCATCTTCACTTGCATCATCATCAAGTACAAGTACGAAGGCGCTTCGCTCACGCCCCATGCTCTGCCCGTGTACAGCTCTGTAGCGCTGTCTACTTGGATGGTACCTGAGGTCGCACCCATGTTCGTCGTCATGGGAACAATATGTGCTCTCCCTGAACCACAGAACTTGGGCTCTGCTTGGTACCACAAAGTACGGAAATTTCTCGGCGGCCCACTGTTGATCAATTTGGTGACTGTCTTCGGTCCACTGATTTGGATCGGCGTCTCGACACCTTTTGCGGTCCTGGCCAATGTGCATTTCAACAATGCCTATGGTACTGCCCAAGCGCTGCAACGACATTTGGAGCAGCAGCCCGTGGAGTCTCCGTCCCTGAACGCGTCAGACCTTCAGCAGGCCCTCTGGGGCTGGACAGAATTCCTCAAGGGTTTCGGATCTATTCGCCTCGTCGCCATCCTGTGGAACACCAGTACCAGCATACTGATCGTTTCCCTTCTCGCTGTAGGTTCGCGCATCTGTCGCATCCTCCACCGCCAGCTGCGAGAGTCTTCCAAGAGTCCTCACACCAAGTACACGCCCCGGCAGGCGGCCGCAAAGGTGCGCTATCTCCGCGAGTCTATCGTCGTCCTTGGCGGCTTCTACTTGGTGATAGCTCTCACCGGCGTTATTTTGGTGTTCAGCATGAGCCTCACCGCTAATGCGTTGTCCAAGGGCATCGTGCAAGAATCGTTGGAGGCATTCAGGATCTGTCAACTCTTCTTCATGTGGACAGTAGCCATCGATGGCACTTTTGCCATGGGCCTGTTTAGTGGCAGAGTGTTCGCTGCCGCGTCCATTGACGCAATCGAGAAGAAGCGCGCTATTCATTTTGGCAAGGGAGCAGCGAATTCGGACATCGAGGCCGCTAATGCCGCCGCCGATGACGAAGAGAAGCTTGCTTGGGCAAAGACAGGCCTCAAGCGGACGTCTGGGATACTGAATCCTGGAAAAGGCAGCCGTTCGAAAGCCTCGCCGCCGTGCGCCTCGATGACTGGTTCGGGTGTCAAGGTGGATATAGAGGAGGAAATGGTCATGGACGTACCCGATCTCGACGCGGTCAGTACCTGCAAGAGCAGTGGCTCCTCTAGTGCAAGCTCGACACCGGTGTCGCTCCTCACCAAGCTCCCCAACATGTCACCTAGCATCACCAGTCCTGCCCTGCCGTCCATGCAAGAGGAAACACAAGAATTGCCGCAGGCCAGCGCTAGATTGTAGATGAAAGTCTCCTCTTTCCCGAGTTGGTTCACTCTTTGCACCATTATCGCGACATCGAGTCATCGAGAATTACGTCGGCCCCTCTCGCTGTGGGCGTCACCCTACATTGAGTCATCCCTCGGTATCTGGGCCCTTCCTATAGAGGCAGACACATCTCTGCGCATCATTGTTTTTCCATAGCGTCTCTTCATCTACTTGTACATCAGTCTACCATTACTATCCATAGCGTCATTGTTTCCATATGTCATTGATTTCCAGCCAAGTTCGCCGTAATTCGCCGTCTTCGGTGCCTTTGCCCGATCTGCTGCACCGAAGCTTCTGATGTGCCAAGAATCGAGGACACTATACGGGCGTGTGGGGCGTCGCGTCTGCAGGTCGCCCAGCGCGCCCGCCGTCGCCTTCCCACGCCACAACAAGCCATGCAGCCTCGCTTCGGCAGTCAACGGAGATTATGGTTGGCCCGCCTCGCCTTGGCTCTATGCGGTTGTGGAGCTGACAAGCGTGTAGCTCGTCGATGTTCTCCATTCCCCAAACACCTTCCTCATCCCTCTCCCCCCCACCCCTCCAGCGCTGGCAGCCCCAGACGCAGCACTATCGGCCGTGCCTCGGCGTGAATTATCCTATGCCGCGGCGTTTACAATAACCTTCAGAGGGTCCACTGTCAGACGTCACTCGCAGTCTGTCATACTTCATTTGCTTCCTCCAGTCTTTACAGATTCACTATTCCTTGACCTCTTTGGCTTCGTCGCCGTCACCATCTTCATCACCACCACCATCTTTGCACTCTTTCCTGTGAGCTCCTCGTACCACTGGCGCTCCGCTCTGCCTCCTCGCCGAGAGGCTGCCGCTATCCTGCAAAAAGAAGTGGCCGCCGTCGGCCGCTTGTTCGGCTCATTCTGCTAGCGCTCGGACTCGAACGATCCCCCACTGGGCCAAAGCCTTGGGACCGGGACAGAGAGCAAAGACGTGGTGCAGCCGCCATGTCTTCCAGCTTTGACGCAAATGCGCCGGCAACGCTGCTTGAACTCGTGACCACGCTGCAAGTGGTCCTCGATGCAAGCGCCGTCACCGCAACCAAGCGATCCCAGATTGCCATTGTGGTGCTGACCGGGTTGATGGGTATCGCCTCTCGTGAGTAAGCAGCGTCGGTTCGAGTCGCACAGAGTGCTGTTGTTCCAAGGGAATACGATCAAGGTCGGATCCAGGCTGATACGTGCCTTCTCATCGTGGTTGGTCCTACACAGCGCTCCTCTTCTACAGACTCTGGTGGACGGGGAAGCTGTGGTTCTTTCGTTTACAAAGAAGGTCCCAGGGAACATACCTCGTGGTGAGTGACAAATACCTGAGGGAGGTTCAACATTTCGATGAGGATATTTGCAAGCGGAACCGTAAGCGGAACCGGACCCCTCATGATCCCTGCTTCCTTGTCAACTTCATTCGCTACAGGCCCACCCTCTCACAGTCTTCTCTGCGCTTCTATCAATGACTGGAGTGCTCGTCCTCGGCTGCATAATCGTCAAGTACAAGTATGCAGGCGCATCGATTACCCCCGAAGCCTTACCAGTGTACACCTCTGTCGTGCTGACCTCGTGGATCCTGCTGCCGATTGGGCCCCTTTACACCATTCTCGGCACAATCTGTGCCATCCCTGAGTCCGACGCGGGAACTGCCTGGCATCACAAGGTACGGCGAGTCCTTGGCGGTCCAATGTCCATGAACATGCTCAATACCCTGGCCCCGCTGGTTTGGATTGTCATCACTACCGCTTTTGCGGCTCAGACGACTGTGCACTTCCACAACGCCTACGATGCCTCAAGATCGCTACAGCGACAGCTGGCTCAGGGACTCGCCGCGACGGCGACGGCGGCGCAGATGGCAACGGCTCACCGGGCATGGGGCGACTTTATGAAGGGCTTCGACTGTATCCGCATCGTTGCTAGCATATGGGCGGCCACAGTCTGCGGCCTTGTGATCTCGGTCCTCGTTGTAGGCACCCGCATCTGTTGCATTCTAAGACGTCAGCTGCGACAATTGGGGACTGCTTCTCAAAGTAAGCACACGCAGCAAAAGGCGGAAAAGGCGAGATCTATCCGCGAGTCGATTATCATCCTCGGCAGCTTCTACGTCTTGCTGGCCTCGAGTGGTATCATTCTTCTCGTCGCCATGGCTATCACCGCTGCTCGGCTCGCCGGTCAAGACGTGAGCGAAGCGTTGAATTCCTATAGGCTCTTGCAACTCGTGTTCATGTGGACGGTGGCAGTCAATGGCACAGGTGTCATAGGACTCTTCAGTGGCAGAGTCTTTACTGCCGTTTCCGTCGGCGCAATCGACAAAGGACCCGTGACGGCTAGCATGCTCCGACGACGACGAGCAGGCCCGGGTACCGAGACCGCTGACGCCACCGCTCAAGAAGAGAAGCGCGGCTGGGCAAATACGGCACTCAAGCGGACGTCGGGCATTCTGAATACACCCAAAGTTGGCCGCGGGAAAGCTTCACCACCTTGCGTCTCGATGACCACGTCAGGCATTCAAGTGGATGTAGAGGAGGAGATGGTCCTAGACGAGGCGGACCTCGATGCCATCAGTGCCTACAAGAGGTCTGGCTCTTCCAGTGCCAATTCGACACCCTTGTCACGCTTGACAAAACTTCCCAGCCAGTCGCCGAGCATTACCAGTCCGCCTTTGGCAGCTCCGTTGGAGGAGGCACAAGAAGCGCTGCCTCCATGGGAGCAGACAGCAACCTAGCATGTCCTCGTCCTCCTCTGCTTTGTGACTACGGGGGTCAAGTCACCCAAGAATCTGTGGGCCCCTCTCACTGTGGGCGCCACAATGGAGCAGCCACATCTCTGCGCATCCCGACCCTCTGTTGTCTCCTCAATTACTTTGTACAATAATTCAGAATCCCGCATAGTGTCATTATTGTATTGTCGTATCTCTGTTGTCATGCATCTGGTCGGCCATGGGAGCACGACCCTGTTGGCTACATTTTGCTGGTCACCCAGTGGTAGCGCCGGTTGTCCCACTGACCAAGAGCGACTTTCGGTAGCGGCTGACGACCGTGGCAAGTGCTCCAGGCACGAGCATCATGCAGCCAGTGAAGATGACCAACCCTCGGAAGCCTCCCAGGCCATAGAGCTGGAAGCTGGTCCCCTTTTCGGAATCGTAGATGGTTCCGGCAATGAGCGGGAAGAGGACCACGGCAATGCCCCTCAGGAAGATCAGTGCGAGGTAGACGGTCGATGTCTCTTGATTGTTCATCGAGGAGATGTCTTTGGCAGCGGGAGTCAGGAAAGTGGTGAAACCGCCTGCAGTGGCGCCAAATACGAGGGTGAATATGATGAGGAGGACGAGTGAGTTGGAGAAGCCCCAGAAGAAAAAGGCAGAGAGGGCACTGATGGTAGCGCAGATGGACATGAGCACCGGTGTGCTCAGAGCGTCAATCAGACGGCCGATGGTGAGGAAGCTGACAAATGCGCATGCATTGAAAGCTGAAAGGACGCCTGTCCCTGTGGCAGGGCTGAAGCCGAGAGACGTGGTATACGAGGAAAGGTAGAGGCTGACGGTGTTGAATGCGCCGGCGTGAAAGACGAGAATCCCAATGTAGAGCAGGGACAATGGCCGGAGCAACACCTTGAGACCGTCTGGAGCCAGAGAGCGTAGCAAAGAGCGACGAGGCTCGGCGTCTCTAGATGGTATTGGCAATCGAGGTCGAATGAGGTATATGGCGATGCACATCAGCACAAGGGTATAGGCGGCTTGAATGCGTACGGTCCAGGCAAAACCGACGCGTTGCAGCAGGGCATTGATGATCAAAGGGAAGACAGTACCGCCTACAGCGCTACCAGCATAGATGACTCCACTTGCAGTACCTCTCCTCTTGTCAAACCATTGTGGGAGCCAGAGAATCACGGCGGTGAAGGTAATGCCGGCGGCTACGCCGTAGATGATGCCCTGAAAGGCAATCAAGGCAGCAATGTTGCCCCCGAAGAAGCTGGCGATGATGAGCGATACGACAGCTATGAGTATCGTGCACATCGATGTGCGCTTGATCAAGTGTGGGTTGGTACGAAAGAAGCCACGCGTGAGGAGCGGAGAGAAGTGCAGACCAGCCAAGACTAGGGTACCGACGACAGAGGTCGCTGCCGGGGATGCTTTGCCATAGAGGGCCGAGGCGGGATTATGCGTGTGGTATTCTTGAAACACTCCGTAGGCATAGGCGCCTCCCCATGTAGTGGTCTCGAAGAGGAAGCTGGCGAAGAGGTAAGTGTATGCGCCTCGACCTCTGTCTACGGGAGGTAGGTTGCCGCCATCGTTCTCTAAGGTGGCTTCGTGAGCACCCGAGGAGGAGGGCGTCAGGGAGGGCGTGTCCGCCAGGGATTCGAGTGCGAGAGTTTCGATTGGGGTTGGGTCTGCACTCTTCGCCATGAGCGGCGGCAGGGAGAGGGGTGGGTGAGTGCGACAGGTGTCGTAAAAAAGAGTTGGTACCGGCCGAGCGATCTTCCTGCTACCATTACTCTTAAGACCACTCCATCCTTCGGCTCTGCCCCGCGCTCTTCGGCGAAGGGCCGTGGGCCGCCCCGCATGACTCAACTGGCCGGGTGCGTTCCGAATCTTATCGCGTCCCGTGCCATTTGCTTCCGTTCCGATACCACCCATCTCCCCTCCACCGCCTTCGACCTCCGCTCAGCGCACGACCCCTCGCCGCTTCTGCTTCGGGACGCACAGCCGCCGTCTTGGCACCGCCGTCATCGCTACTCCTTCCTTTCTCTCACCATAATCTTGCCCTGGCCCGCAGCTTACTCCTTCGTCAGTGGCACACAACCATTCGGTACTGCTGTGACCTTCTTTGAGCACAGGCACTTGGCGATTCGGCTGAGCTCGTCATCGAGACGTGAGCAGGACGCCATCCATTGCTCGACGGCAACATTTGCTCAGACGCCAACGATCGTACGACGCCGACAAAATCTTAACGACGCCAGAGCATTGCTGGCAGAAACAGATCAGGGGTACAACCCTCCTCTCATCGACTATATCCCCTGGGCCCACTTTCTAGCCCCTCTCGTTCACCACCTGACCTCCTTCTTTCCCCTCGCCTCAGCGGCTGCTTGCCTTTCCCCCCGTCACCCACCATGGCGCACTTCCTCTCGAATAGGGCGGCCGATGCAGCTTCCAACGTTCTCGTCAATGACCATACCTCTGCGGGCGCACCCGTCTGGGAGCTCATCAAGGTCACCGCAGCCTCCATCACAGAAGTAGTCATACTCAGCGCAGTCGGCTACGTCCTAGCTCGCAGAGGCATCATCGATAAGAAGACGCAGACCAAGATCAACAAGATGAACGTCTCCTTCTTCACACCAGCCCTTCTCTTCTCAAAGGTCGCATTCTCGCTCAACCCACATAGGTTGGCAGAATTGTTCATCGTACCCATAGGCTTCGTAATGGTGACCTTTGTGTCCACTGCCGCCGCTTGGACCCTGTCTGGCGTCACACGACTCTCCAAAGCGCAGAGGAATTTTGCAATCGCCTGCGCCATCTCGCCCAATTCCAATTCTCTGCCGGTGGCCTTGATGCAGGCGCTCGTCATGGAGGTTCCCCAGCTTCACTGGGACGAAGAAGGAGAGCCAGAAGACACCGTCGATGGCATGCTCGGTAGGGCCCTGACCTATCTGGTCCTCTTCTCCACTCTGGGCATGTTCCTGCGCTGGAGCGTTGGTGCTTCCCTTCTGAGCACAGTGGAAGACGACGAAGAGGGCATAGAGGAAGATCGGCAGATCGCGTCCGGTACTGTACCTCAGCAAGTACCTACTGGCCGTATCGTTCACTTTGATGGAGCAGACGACGCAGAGGCCAATGCCGCGACCAATGGCATACCTTCGATACAAGTCCAGCACCCTTCAGAGGACGGGACCTCCAGACTCCCACCAGAGCCTCTCACCGATGGAGGAGATCCGCCCATCCCTCGCTCGCCCGCGAGCCAAGCAAGGAGTGGCCCGCCCGCATGGGCCAGATCCTTCCCCAACTCACCTTCAGCATCTCGACCAGGCAGTGTCTACAGGGATGACGAGGATGCGGATAGCGATGTGCCACCGTTGCGCCTTCCTCCCCCTTCAGGCTGGACGAAGTTCAGGCGTTTCACCTCTGCAATCTTCTACAAGGTCATCATTGTGCCAGCCAAGACAATCAACTCTTTTATGACGGCTCCCTTGTGGGCTGCCACCGCCTCACTAGTGGTAGCGATGATTCAGCCCCTTCAACGCTTCCTGGGCGCTGTATCGCCCCTCGTGGGCGCTCTGCAAACTGCAGGAGCTTGCTCTATCCCTCTTACCATGGTCGTCCTGGGAGCCTATTTCATTGAGGAGAAGAGCGCAGTCGGCGAAATGAACAAGGCCGACGAGAGAGCGAGGCAAGCTGAAGGCAATGCGAGGGTAGAACCAACGGCTGAGCCTGAACAGCCTCTTCCAGCACACAGGCCAGTCGATAAGTCCGCCAGCCCTGCCTATCCATGGATGAAGCAGCCTTGGCAAAGGCGAGGCAGCGGAGGAGGTGCTACCGTCGAGTCTGGCGTTACCACGGATGACGAGGATGCGGGTGGTGCCTCGGGTCTACACGCCACACACGAGCGTCACACCTGGCCTATGTCTCGCCTACGCCGTTCAGCTTCTGATCGACGCCGACGTGCAGCAGAGATGACCCCAGTGGAGAAGCTCAAGGCGCACAAGGCTACCATGGAGCGTCGGACTATCTTTGTGGCCATCATCTCGCGGATGCTCATCACTCCCTTGATACTGATTCCAGCCATTGCATGGTATGCCATCGCGACGCACTCTAATGTCGTAGATGACCCAGTCTTCATCACATCGGCATGCCTCATCGTTGGCTCCCCGCCTGCGCTGACCCTGGCGCAGATCACCAGCCAAAAGGCTACAGGCAACAGCGGTTTCGAGAGGCTGATCTCGAGGACCATCTTTGTGTCGTATGCCATCTTTGCAGCGCCCACTACCATCGTGTTGGTGTTGGCTGCGCTGTTGATTGCTCAAAACGACTGAGGAAAGAGGCGAGGGGAGCCAGAAAGGGATAGCGGAAGCACTCGGTGATGATGGGAATCCGCGCTGGTAGCGGTGGTGGGTTCCAGCTGGCCGAACTCATGAGGCAGCTCTGCAAGGGAACGAGTGTCCATCACAAGCCTACGAGATGATCATGTGGATACGATGCTTTTTCATGTAGATTTTCTTCAATTTCATGTTGCCTACCTCCAATGTGAACGTTCGAGCCGATCGACCATCCACAAGCGCTGGCGCCGGCATACTTTGCCCAGTGCTCCCAACACTCCTTCCAAAGTACCTTCAAGCTCCGTCCTACTCGCCTTTGCCTAGGCCAGCCCCTCTCCTGAGCATCTTCCCCTCCTATGGTATGTCCCACGAAACTTAGCATCGTCCCCGCCGTCTTTGACAAGCGACAAAAAGGGGCCAATTTCCTATATGTCCGTGGGCCTTTCTCTTTTGGAAAGGGGGAATCACCCCAGTCGACTTCTTCCCCGCCACGGTCCCTTCAGAAAGAAGTGACCTTGGCACCCTAACTTCCTAGAAGGGAATGAGAGGGTGTGGCATTGGCAGCTGAGAGAGGGCGAACGTACGAAGGGAGAAGAGGAGGGGGAGGAGGACATGAGAATGAGAAGTATCAGTATTCTGCTTCTTCATCTGTCTCAGCCTTCTCATGCTGTCTTTCTGCCCCCTTTGGGCGCTACTCACGGTTGCTTTTTTGATCGAGAAAAGAAGAGGAAACCAAGGAAGGGGCTGACCCAGGCCGAGGAATATATCCTGCGTGCAGCAGCCAGAGATCCGCGCCGCGCGCACCACGGACGGACAAACAGAGGCGAAGCGGAGAGGAAGCAATGGGTCGGAACGGCAGGGACAGCCATGGCAGCGAGAACAGGTGGGGTGTGACCATGAACGAGGACCCGAGGATGCTGCATACGATCGGCTCAAGCGAAGAAGGGCGGGAGCAATGCTGAGTCAAGCACAGGAGGAACGAGCAACGTACGCATGAGAAGCATCGGAGCAACTTTGCCGCGGCGACTGGCTCCTTCGCCCACAGGAACACCTTTGCCCTCGGGTCCTCAGGTCCGAAAATCGTCCAGTCAGGAACAAGAGGGCGTACGGAGTACGCCTCGTGAGAACCTTGGCTGACCAGGGCGAGGACGACACAAGCCCCTGGCGGCTGCTTCGATTGAGGTCATTGTCGATCGTCCTTTGTGGCAGGCATATAAGGGGGTCCCATCCAGCG